TAATACAAAACAGGTAATAAATAACAGGTAATACAAAACAGGTAATACAAAATAGGTAATAAATAACAGGTAATACAAAACAGGTAATACAAAATAGGTAATACAAAACAGGTAATAAATAACAGGTAATACAAAACAAGTAATAAATAACAGATAATACAAAACAGGTAATACAAAACAGATAATAAATAACAGGTAATACAAAACAGGTAATAAATAACAGGTATTTCAAAACAGATAATACAAAACAGATAATAATTAACAGGTAATAGAAAACAGGTAATAAATAACAGCTAATAAAGAACAGGTAATACAAAACAGGTAATAAAAACAGGTAATACAAAATAGGTAATTCAAAACAGGTAATAAAGAACAGGTAATACAAAACAGGTAATAAAAAAACGGTAATACAAAACAGGTAATAAATAACTGGTAATACAAAACAGGTAATATAAAACAGGTAATAAATAACAGGTAATACAAAACAGGTAATACAAAACAGGTAATACAAAACAGGTAATAAATAACAGGTAATACAAAACAGGTAATATAAAACAGGTAATACAAAACTTGTAATAAATAACAGGTAATACAAAACAGGTAATACAAAATAGGTAATACAAAACAGGTAATAAATAACAGGTAATACAAAACAGGTAATAAATAACAGATAATACAAAACAGGTAATACAAAACAGATAATAAATAACAGGTAATACAAAACAGGTAATAAATAACAGGTAATTCAAAACAGATAATACAAAAACGATGATAATTAACAGGTAATACAAAAGATGTAATAAAAAACAGCTAATAAAGAACAGGTAATACAAAACAGGTAATAAAAAACAGGCAATACAAAATAGGTAATACAAAACAGGTAATAAAGAACAGGTAATACAAAACAGGTAATATAAAACAGGTAATAAATAACAGGTAATACAAAACAGGTAATAAATAACAGGTAATACAAAACAGGTAATTAATAACAGGTAATACAAAATAGGTAATAGAAACAGATAATACAAAACAGGTAATCAATAACAGTTAATACAAAACAGGTATTAAATAACAGGTAATACAAAACAGGTAATACAAAACAGGTAATACAAAACAGGTAATACAAAACAGGTAATACAAAACTGGTAATAAAAAACAGGTAATACAAAAGAGGTAATACAAAATAGGTAATACAAAAAAGGTAATAAATAAAAGGCAATACAAAACAGGTAATAAATAACAGATAATACAAAACAGGTGATACAAAACAGGTAATAAATAACAGGTAATACAAAACAGGTAATAAATAACAGGTAATACAAAACAGGTAATACAAAATAGGTAATACAAAACAGGTAATAACTAACAGGTAATACAAAACAAGTAATAAATAACAGATAATACAAAACAGGTAATACAAAACAGCTAATAAAGAACAGGTAATACAAAACAGGTAATAAAAAACAGGCAATACAAAATAGGTAATACAAAACAGGTAATAAAGAACAGGTAATACAAAACAGGTAATATAAAACAGGTAATAAATAACAGGTAATACAAAACAGGTAATAAAGAACAGGTAATACAAAACAGGTAATTAATAACAGGTAATACAAAATAGGTAATAGAAACAGATAAAACAAAACAGGTAATAAATAACAGGTAATACAAAACAGGTATTAAATAACAGGTGATACAAAACAGGTATTAAATAACAGGTAATACAAAACAGGTAATACAAAACAGGTAATACAAAACAGGTAATACAAAACAGGTAATACAAAACTGGTAATAAATAACAGGTAATACAAAAGAGGTAATACAAAATAGGTAATACAAAAAAGGTAATAAATAAAAGGCAATACAAAACAGGTAATAAATAACAGATAATACAAAACAGGTGATACAAAACAGGTAATAAATAACAGGTAATACAAAACAGGTAATAAATAACAGGTAATACAAAACAGGTAATACAAAATAGGTAATACAAAACAGGTAATAACTAACAGGTAATACAAAACAAGTAATAAATAACAGATAATACAAAACAGGTAATACAAAACAGATAATAAATAACAGGTAATACAAAACAGGTAATAAATAACAGGTATTTCAAAACAGATAATACAAAACAGATAATAATTAACAGGTAATAGAAAACAGGTAATAAATAACAGCTAATAAAGAACAGGTAATAAAAAACATGTAATAAAAAACAGGTAATACAAAATAGGTAATTCAAAACAGGTAATAAAGAACAGGTAATACAAAACAGGTAATATAAAACAGGTAATAAATAACAGGTAATACAAAACAGGTAATAAATAAACGGTAATACAAAACAGGTAATAAATAAACGGTAATACAAAACAGGTAATAAATAACTTGTAATACAAAACAGGTAATATAAAACAAGTAATAAACAACAGGTAATACAAAACAGGTAATACAAAACAGGTAATACAAAACAGGTAATACAAAACAGGTAATAAATAACAGGTAATACAAAACAGGTAATATAAAACAGGTAATACAAAACATGTAATAAATAACAGGTAATAAAAAACAGGTTTTACAAAACAGGTAATACAAAACAGGTAATAAATAACATGTAATACAAAAGAGGTAATACAAAACAGGTAATAAATAACAGGTAATGCAAAACAGGTAATAAATAACAGGTAATACAAAACAGGTAATACAAAATAGGTAATACAAAACAGGTAATAACTAACAGGTAATACAAAACAAGTAATAAATAACAGATAATACAAAACAGGTAATACAAAACAGCTAATAAAGAACAGGTAATACAAAACAGGTAATAAAAAACAGGCAATACAAAATAGGTAATACAAAACAGGTAATAAAGAACAGGTAATACAAAACAGGTAATATAAAACAGGTAATAAATAACAGGTAATACAAAACAGGTAATAAAGAACAGGTAATACAAAACAGGTAATTAATAACAGGTAATACAAAATAGGTAATAGAAACAGATAAAACAAAACAGGTAATAAATAACAGGTAATACAAAACAGGTATTAAATAACAGGTGATACAAAACAGGTATTAAATAACAGGTAATACAAAACAGGTAATACAAAACAGGTAATACAAAACAGGTAATACAAAACAGGTAATACAAAACTGGTAATAAATAACAGGTAATACAAAAGAGGTAATACAAAATAGGTAATACAAAAAAGGTAATAAATAAAAGGCAATACAAAACAGGTAATAAATAACAGATAATACAAAACAGGTGATACAAAACAGGTAATAAATAACAGGTAATACAAAACAGGTAATAAATAACAGGTAATACAAAACAGGTAATACAAAATAGGTAATACAAAACAGGTAATAACTAACAGGTAATACAAAACAAGTAATAAATAACAGATAATACAAAACAGGTAATACAAAACAGATAATAAATAACAGGTAATACAAAACAGGTAATAAATAACAGGTATTTCAAAACAGATAATACAAAACAGATAATAATTAACAGGTAATAGAAAACAGGTAATAAATAACAGCTAATAAAGAACAGGTAATAAAAAACATGTAATAAAAAACAGGTAATACAAAATAGGTAATTCAAAACAGGTAATAAAGAACAGGTAATACAAAACAGGTAATATAAAACAGGTAATAAATAACAGGTAATACAAAACAGGTAATAAATAAACGGTAATACAAAACAGGTAATAAATAAACGGTAATACAAAACAGGTAATAAATAACTTGTAATACAAAACAGGTAATATAAAACAAGTAATAAACAACAGGTAATACAAAACAGGTAATACAAAACAGGTAATACAAAACAGGTAATACAAAACAGGTAATAAATAACAGGTAATACAAAACAGGTAATATAAAACAGGTAATACAAAACATGTAATAAATAACAGGTAATAAAAAACAGGTTTTACAAAACAGGTAATACAAAACAGGTAATAAATAACATGTAATACAAAAGAGGTAATACAAAACAGGTAATAAATAACAGGTAATGCAAAACAGGTAATAAATAACAGATAATTTAAAACAGGTAATAAATAAAACGTAATACAAAACAGGTAATACAAAATAGGTAATAAAAAACAGGTAATAAATAACAGGTAATACAAAACAGGTAATACAAAATAGGTAATACAAAACATGTAATAAATAACAGGTAATAAATAACAGGTAATACAAAACAGGTAATACACAACAGGTAATAAATAACAGGTAATGCAAAACAGGAAAATAATAACAGGTAATACAAAACAGGTAATAAATAACAGGTAATACAAAACAGGTAATACAAAACAGGTAATAAATAACAGGTAATACAAAACAGGTAATAAATAACAGGTAATACAAAAGAGGTAATACAAAATATGTAATACAAAACAGGTAATAAATAACCGGTAATACAAAACAGGTAATAAATAACAGGTAATAAAAAGCAGGTTATAAAAAACGGCTAATTAAAAACAGATAATAAAAAACAGATAATAAAAAACAAGAAATAAAAAACAGGTAATAAAAACAGGAATTAAAAACAGGTAATACAAAACAGGAAATAAAAAACTGGTAATAAAAAGCACAAAATAAGAATAAAACGTTTCATCAATTTATTCAATATAATTATACTCCAGCTCAAATAACTTTTGCATTACCCTGTGTGTGTCACCAGGTATTTAAGAAAATTCCTACGTAAAATAATGAGCTTCGGCGTTTGTAAGTTGAACATGTAAAAAATTAATTTAATTTAACTTACGAAAACATGTAGTGTTACAAACTTAAAGAACGAATTATTAATTATTTTAACTTAACAAAACTATATACGTTTGTTGAAGATTAAAGTAATCTTTTGTTTTAGCTTAACTTTAAAGCTAATTATATAAGTAATTACATATTTAAAAACCTTTAAGTTGCTCATCAAGACACCATTATCACTGAGAAAAATATATATATATATAATAACTAAATGTGTTTTATTATGCTATTAACCAAGATTGTGTTTGGAGTTGAAGAAATGGACATAATGTTTGGGAAAAACTTAATTTTACTGATAAAATAATTAAAAAATAATTATAAACATTATCTAACAATAAACATGAGCTTTTGGACATTCTATCTTATGATGCCATAGAGATGTCTAGTTCATATATTTAATCGGCCACACCCAACTGGACATCGGTCAGTAGGATCGGAGTCTAAGTCATGAAAGAAGCCACGGTACCAAAGGCCAGAACCACTGAGCTCAACTCCAGCAGAAGATCTGTGGTGAAATACAAATATATTAATGTTGTTTTGCATTAACGGTGAAAAACGGCAGTTGTGACAAATTACATTGAACCAACCATGTAGTGACAATATCTACACTTATACAATCCGGGTTGTGACAAAATCTACGCTTATATAATCCAGGTTGTGACAAGATCTGTCCTTATACAATTAAGGTTGTGACAAGATCTGCCCTTATACAATTAGGGTTGTGACAAGATCTGCCCTTATACAATTATGGTTGTGACAAGATCTGCACTTATACAATCCAGCATGGTCGAGTCGGTAAAGTTCATGGTTGTTAAACCGAAAAGGTTGTTCTTGGTTGGACAAAGGCTATGGAAGCAAATCCAAAAAGAAAAGCAGGCTGAAATCGGAGTCAACGGTCTCTATGGCGCATAACCAGTTGACACGTATCCTTAATTGTGTTGAGGGGAATCCCCCCTACAATTAAGAACGAAGAAGAGAAGAAGAAGACAAACCAGCCCTAATTTTTTCTATAATAAAAATAAGAAATCAACGTTTGGTTATGGAGGCTTAGTGGTATCAAATTGGACAGCTTACTTGTCAGCCTGCGTGCGGATCTGTTAGTAGACTTGTGATTGGGTCGAGTTATGTGGCCGCGGTCTGAAAATATCATCACAGTTTATCAGCGTGTGCTATAAGCCTTTACAAGCGAACACATGTGCAATTTCCGGCCGGCTAGAACTGTTGTCATTTAAATGTAAACAAAATTGGTACTTCATTTCTTAGATCTTAAACATTGGGGCGCTTTTTCTGCGCACTATATCCTAGACACCACAACGTGTTTTTGTTTTTTAAATATTGTCTCTTAGTAATAGTGTTTCTTCCAGACTTTTTTCTCCGGGATTTGGGAGGGGGCGGGGGCGGTCAACATTTTTCGGGGGGGGGGGACACTAGTAAAACTGTATGTTTACTATATCAATTCCATCTCGTTCGGGGAGGGGGGGGGAGGGGGGGTATAAGAGATGCGTGGAAGAAACTCTGCTTAGTAACCTATCAGTTAAAATATTAAGCAGGCATGGGTTTTTTTTTGTATGTAGAACGTTGGGAATTCCAAACATATTTAATATACAATACAGAGGCCGACTCTTTATTGCTATAGTTATCATTTTCATCATCTTAACCCTTAAATAAATGCATTGCAAAGCAAATTGATTGATGTCTATATTTGTTTTCCCAGATTACCATGATATACTATGACTATGATACACTATAATATATATATATATATGATATACTATAAATATACTATGATTACTATGACATAATGAGTTAGTTTACCAATTAGGTCCTTGACGAACAGCGTATCATTAGCTCTGTATGGGAACCGTCTTTGCTGTTTGAAAGTTCGTCCATCGTAAATAAAGCGAATTGTCATCGTGGTCTTTCTAAACAGCCTTGCGGGTATATACGAATACCAAAGTTTGGGTTCTCCGTCGTCGCAGTAGCAGCCATCTTGGTACCTCGGATTACCTTCCCATTTTTGGCAGCTATTTGGCGGGAACATTCGATAATTAAACATGCAAATCTGAAGAGAAAAACATATTCGTAAGTCAATGTGCTTATGTGGGAAGATTGTAACAGTAAACAAAGATTGAAGATGGTAACAGTAGACACAGATTGTAAAAGTAGACTAGGATTGAAATGTGTAACAGTAGACATTGATTGAAGATTATAACCGTAGGCAAGGACTGAAGACAGTAACAGTAGACAATGATTGAAGATTGTATAAGTAGATTATGATTGAAGAATGTAAAAGAAGACAATGATTGAAGATTGTAAAACAAGACAATGGTTGAAGATTGTAACAGTAGAAAAGGAATAAACACTGTCACATGAGACAATGATTGAAGATTGTCTAAGTAGACAATGATTGTCGTGTACTACAGAAGTCATTGATTGAAGATTGTCACAGTAGACAATGATTGCCGTGTAGTACAGAAGTCATCGATTGAAGATTGTCACAGTAGACAATGATTGTCGTGTAGTACAGAAGTCATGGATTGAAGATTGTCACATTAGAAAATGATTGCCGTGTAGAAAAGAAGTCATAGATTGAAGATAGTCAAAGTAGACAATGATTGCCGTGTTACACAGAAGTCACGGATTGAAGATTGTCTAAGTAGATAATGATTGCCGTGTACCACAGAAGTCGTGGATTGAAGATTGTCACAATAGACAATTATTGTCGTGTACTACAGCAGTCATGGATTGAAGATTGTCTAAGTAGACAATGAGGTGCTAGAGTTTTAATACTTGTACTCCTGTAAACTATTAGAGATAAAAGTACGTAGTTCCCCTTCCAAACCTGACGGTCTATGGGGCAAGGGAAGAAGAGTTCACCTGTTTCTGTGACCTCGGCATATGAAGAGATAGTGTGGTCAGCACTATGCCCAGTCGTCTTTACTTTCCCTAATGTGAGTTAGGTACCTATCAGAGCTGTGTGGACTCAGGGACGGTGTACTAACGAGGTATTTTTTCTGAGCTGTTCGATAATAGAACAAATTTTAACATCTTATGTATTTTAACCAAAATCTATTGAAAAAAAAACTTTGAAAAGCAGAATACTAACCGGGGTGAAGGAATCATGGTCGGAATAGTTTGTGCAGTCATAATTTTTGTGGGAAGAATCTAAATCAAGCGCACAAGCCAAGGCAAAAAAGACTGCCTCATCCAATACGTACAACGTGTCCTGTGGTATATGCATACGTCCATAGATAATGAGTGGGTCCCTCCCCCACACCACACACCCTGTACAGCGGGGTAGGTACCCATCTAACGTGGCAATAATTCCATGATCTCGTTGGAATTCAAGCGAGTTCACATTGCCCCTGCTTTCTTGAATTAAAATGTAGATATTAAAAAAAATACAATTAAAACGACAAATCACAAAAAAAAAAACAGCATCCATACGATGTTAATTATGCACATAGTGTGAGAGATACAGAGGCGCAGCAACGGGGGGGGGGGGGGGGGGGTGGGTGGGGAGGGGGTTACATGTCTTCGGGGGCGCCAAAATAAGCCCATTTTAGCTGCTATTTTATATGGGGGTGGGGCGCCAAATTGAAAGTTTGTCCCCGGGCGCCGGGAGCGGTCGCTACGCCTCTGGAGAGATATGTGGGAATTAATGTATACACACTGTGTTTATGATTGTGGAAAACAAATTTGAGCTATGCACATTTTTGTTTGTAATTTCTCGTGTACAGAGTATAGAGAAAGTACTGTAATGGGTAGACGGCGTGACCTAGCGGTAGAAAGATAGACATCTAACCCGAGACGTTCGAATTCAAATGAAGGGAACTAAGTCCACCCAGCTTTGATGGGTACCTAGCAAAAACGGCTGGGTATAGCGCCTGTCACATTATCCCTTCACATACCAAGGTCTCCGAAGCAGCTGAACTCTACTTCATCTGCCCCGTGTTTCTTGGCCACGAGCGGGAAATGACGTTGACGATTGTAGTCGTAGAAAAAAGCAAATCATCAATTTTCACCGTTTTACAACAAATCATCAATTTTCACCGTTTTACAACAAATAATCAATTTTCACCGTTTTACAACAAATCATCAATTTTCACTGTTTTACAACAAATCATCAATTTTCACCGTTTTAAAACAAATCATCAATTTTTACCGTTTTACAACAGATCATCAATTTTCACCGTTTTACAACAGATCATCAATTTTCACCGTTTTACCCCCCCCCCCCCCCCCACTATATCGTTACCGATTATATAGTATGCAGTGTACTCGAGCAACAATTTACATTTTTTTGGACAAATTAAATTGTGCATTTCTATAACCTTCTGGAGCCGGGAAAACCTAATGTATCATATCGTCCCATCTTAGAGAGTTTCTTCCAGGCTTCTCTCCCCCTCTCACCGTGAAAACCTACGGCCCTCCCCAGAACGAAATGGAATTTATATATAAAACATATTTTTACCAGTGTCCACTCCCCCTCCCCCCCCCAAAATTTAGTCCCCCCCCCTGAAAATACCAAGTGCCTCCCCAGAGAAAAAAAGTCTGGGAGAAACAGTAATCTTAGAGCGGATCAAATTCCTAAATAGAGGCATTACTATACTGGTGTAATAAAAAATATCTAAGAATATTGAGGTCATTCCTTTGATTCTTATAGCTATAGTAATTTACTTTTGCTATGTTTATAAAAAAAAATCAAGATAGTCATACTATATGTTTTAAAAAGACTATATTGGATAGGATTTTAATTTTACCTGCATGAATAAACATTGAACTCAGAATCCAGGCAATGAACAGCATTCTTCCGACTCTGATGGATGACTTGCTGTAAAGCAGAGTTGTGAAAAGTTTGCTGACAATTTTTTTTTAATTAGCATCGTTCATGTGTACGTGTGCGTGTGAGTGTAGGCTACTTAGAGCGGGACTGGCTGTGTCTAAGATGCGCGGGAAATTAAAAAAAAATGGATCTTCCCCATTTCCAGATCGTAGTGTATTTTCCCTATCAGAGCTTGGGGACTGAACCTATAGACTATAGAGAAAAACAAGCAATAATAACACTAAATCGGGAGTGATCTCCCCTAAACTTTCTCGAATGTTCTTATGTAACACTACTGGGGATGGCAACTCGGTATATAAACAATATTTTAAATCCATTTTTAATTACTTAAACTTTTAAAAATAGAATAGAATCTCGTAAAAAGAATCGCGCACCACGTGAACGCCAAACTAAATGTGTAGAATAGTGCGAATATTAGTACTTTAATTCACATGCGTTTTTTGAGAAATCAAAAATAGAGTAAATTACTACTTACGGTCAACGGAAATTGTTCAAAATTGAAAGAAGGCAGAGAATTAGATCGTTTACTTATACGTAAAATTTCATTCATCTATCTGAAATAGTACTCAAGTTAGCGGCTTTCGAGAAATTGAAAGTAGAAAAAGTTCCACTTCCGGTTATCGGAATTCGCTGAAAAGTTGATACAGATCTACAAATTTGATATAATACTTATATACAAAAGTTCATTAACCTAGCTGTAACGGTATTCAAGGTATCGTGCTTACACACACACACACACACACACACACACACACACGGACACACACACACACAGAGAGACATACGGACAAGATTGCAAAATTATGTTTTTCCGTATCAGTGAGGTGTAAAACGTCGAGATTTGTAAAAATCTCGATTTTTTTTTGCACGATTACAATACTTTCTCTATACTTCGTATATACGAGAAAGTAAAAAACCAGCCTGCTCCTATAGTCCAGAAGGTTCTTTATCCTTGCTAGTTGAAAATTTGTCTTTAATAACGACATTCATAGAAGATGAATATGATCGCACCAAGTGAGGTTGTGATCTATAATCAATCCTAGGCATTTGTAACTGTTAACCTGTTCAATGTTTGTATTGTCAATAGTATGCGTAATGAGGTAGATGGAAGACGAAGGTGTTTCTGATGAGTCGTAATAATCATTGACTTGGTTTTATCGGGGTGAAGTTTCATTTTGTTAAATTTTGTCAAAGTACCAAGCAATACTTTCTCTATACTTCGTGTATGAGAAAGTAAAAAGGCAAAAGCAATTTGGTTTTCACGTGGAAAATGCGACATAAACAATGACATTCGATAGGCTAGCATAAATTTTATTATACACAATGTAAACGAAATTGCAGTACTAAGTCATGTGATATAAAATAGCATTACGTTATTTAAAAACTTTATCTGCAAAGTTTTGTAAACAAATAACTATCGATCACGGAGTTCATGTTCAGCCAATCAATGTTTGTCTTACAAAAGTGAAACATCCGGATGAATGAATTAAAAATAAATAGAAAAGTAGCCTTAAATTCAAAAAAAATATTTTCAATTTCTCAGCATTTGCAACTTTTATAACATTGATTCTAAAAATATTAAAATTCTAAAGTATTGTAAGCTTAAGATTTGTTTTTATTTTTATGGCCCCATGAAGTAAAAATATATTTTTAAAAAGCGAATTATATCCATGCGAACTATATAATAGAATTAACAGAAGGACTCTCGTTAACTTAGTGGCCTCCATGATAAATCTAGAAATAGATTTAGATCGAGATTCTAGAACTATTCTGGAACATACATATTGATATAATCTATATCGTTAACTTTAAATTATACCCAGGAGAGTGACGGGATCTTACTTACGTTCTGTAATGTGTTAACCTATAAAAACCCAAGTATTTTTAGAAATTCAACAGTTTATGTGTATCCCATAGAATTTACAAGGAAACGCCATAGTTAACACCCAAACAGGAAGTAGAAATCTAAATGGAGTTGAAATTATAAAAATTAGGTGGTATTGAGATTATATTTTTTCGTTGTGTCGATGTTTAAAGAGAAAGTGGTGGTGTCAGGAGTTAATAAATTGGGCGGTGTTGAGATTATAAAAATTAGGTGGTATTGAGATTATATTAATTCGTTGTGTTTATGTTTACAAACAAAATGGTGGTGTTAATAAAGAGTTAATCAACTGGGCGGTGTTGAGATTATAAAAATTAGGTGGTATTGAGAAGTAGTATATTAGGTCCCTTTTGGACCGATTTTTTGGCGCAGGTGGAGGGGGAGATGTACAATGGTTATATAGCAAAATACTCGGAGGTGGAGGGGGAGCAGGATGCGCGGGATGTACAATGACATATAGTAAAATACTACGCCAACTGGCGCATCGGAGGGTAAGGTGGAGGGGGAGCCTGGTACAACGACATATAGTAAAATACTACGCCAACTGGGGTTGGCGCAGGTGGTGGGGAAGTAGGTCACCTTTTTGTGACCTTGTGACGTAATCATTGACCTTGTGACGTAATCATTGACCTTGTGACGTCATCATTGACCTAGTTACGTAATTTTAATGCGTTTTATAATGAGTTTTAATGAGTTTTTACATTTTTAATTAATTTTTATTATCGAGTTACGTAATTTAATTACTTTGATTGTATTTTTATTTTGTTTAATTTGTTTGTTTACTTGTTGTTTAATTTAATTACTTTGTTTATATTGTGTAATTTTTATTAACGAGTTACGTAATTTGATTATTTGTTTACTTTTTAATTATTTTTATTTTGTTTATTTTTTAATTTTATTTTATTTTATAATTAGTTAAATTATTATTAACTAGTTACGTAATTTGATTTTAATTACTTTTGTTTATTTATTTATTTGATATATTTCTTTTCTTTGATGTATGGTATTTAAAATAAAAGACACTGTTTATTTGATTGTATGTATGTTTAATAGTAAACGGATAGGGGTGTTGGTGGATGAGAGGGGGAGTAATGATGGGGTTTGAGGGTAGGGGTGCGTTAGCGTGTACTTTGTGAATAACATCCATTAACCAGACATGTAACACCTGTTACGTATCGACCGCCCGCGAAGTTTTCCGGGCTGCGCGTTTTTTAATGGGAATTTTTTAATGGGAATGTATCGATCGCAGCCGCTGGGCCATCACGGCATGATGTCCCGCCTAATTAAATTGGTTATGCTTCACCGATTTTATGTGTTGTTCGCCGAACCGATCACAGCAGGGGTCCCGCGTTTAATTGAAAGAGCTAAGTGTCTCTCCGCAAAGCCAGCGTTAAGTGTGGGAACACCTGTTACCACGTTAATCGATTTTACCGATCGCTTTGTTAGCTCCACGAAGTACGTAGGTCATTATGCAACAGCTGTTGTGCGACAGCTGGTGGTGTAATTAGGTTGAGCAACCGGACATTACCTTGTTGGTTTTCTAGTACGCGTATGCTACACGTATATATACACACACACACAATCACACACACACACACACACACACACTAAATTAGAACAAAACTCTTCTTATATTTTATTTATTTATTAACGTTTTTCCAATTCATCAAAGGCTTTTAAAATTTCATCCTGTAAACTTAATAGGCGCTCAAAGCAGACGCGACTCATACTAACACCAGAATTTGTAGGAAAATTGGGCAGACGGAGGGGGAGGGAGGGGGAGGGAGGGGGAGGGGGAAGGGGAGAGGGGGAGTGGATTTGAGGCAGACGAAGGGGGAGGGAGGGGGAGAGGGGGAGTGGATTTGATTTTTTAATTAGTTTAATTTTTTTAAATTTTAATTTTGTAATTTTAATGTATTATTTTTATTAATTTTTATTAACGAGTTACGTAATTTGCTTATTTGTTTGAAATTCATTTTAATTAATTTGATTTTAATTACTTTGTTTAATTTATTTGATATATTTCTTTTCTTTGTTGTTTAATTTGTTGGTTTGTTTATTTGATTGTATGTATGTTTAATAGTAAACGGAGAGGGGTGAGGGTGGTTTAGACCGATGGTCGGGGATTGAGAGGGATGGTCGGGGTTGAGGGTAGGGGTGTGCTATTGTAGACAAAAGTAGAAAGTTCTTTGTGTCCTGACTTCGATTTAACCACAGCTGTTACTCATTACCGACAGCTGTTACGTATCGATCCGCCCGTGAACCTCCCCTGCACGACCCGTGGTTGCTTAATAGCGGGTTCACTGAAGCGATCACTGCAGGTAATTAAGCGAAGCCATTAAGCGCGGGCGACAGGGGGACTTAGTGCGTTGGTACGTGAGGTATGCGGGGGTAGACATGTTTTTTACAAGTCTGGAAAAGTAATTAAGTTTTTTATGACCGTTCCGATTTTCTTTTGATCTGACCACCACACACATACGCGCGCGCGCGAAATTCATACTAGGTCGATAAAGGCGGAGAGAACTTATAGGTATACATTATCATGGTGACAACAAAAGCGATCCTTATTTTATTTACATGAAAGCGTGTTTTCCAAAAAGTGTCGCCATGCCGTTGTCACTTTCGCAGCGGGGTTTATTTTAAGTGCACCTCGTGCACGTTTGTTTACATTTTAAAAGACGTGTCGCGTGTCTTCCCCACATGTCTTCCCTAATAGAGAAACGAGAGGAAAGACAACTGTTCTAAAATTATAACAGCCTTGTTTACAGCCACGAGTAGCGTCCCTTGTGAAAAAACTCGCGTCAGAATCCTTAACTAAACATTCAATTTCTTTAACAAGTTAAAAAATAATTTAGGAAGACAAGGGTTAACAACATTAGACGCCACCGTTTTTGTTTCCTGTGACGACAAGGCACAATACACTTTTGTATTTTATGTCTCAAGTAGAGGGGTGGGATATTTTTTATTTGTAAGCGTGTTGTAAACAATAGGTAGAGGAAGCGATTACTAGGTAAGAGGGGAGAGAACGTGACGTCCATCGCGATATTTGAAAACATGGCGATGTGGTGTTAATAAAGAGTTAATAAAT